CGGCCCCGGGCCCACAGCACAAGGCGCTCGGGTGGCCCTGGCCCCGGCACTGGGGCACATGCCGGCGCCGGGTGCAAGGGCATCCCCGCCCCTGGCGTGCCCCAGGACGCGCGGCCCCGCCTCCCGGGTGCCCGGCGCGTGAGTGGCCCCGCCCCCGGGCGCCAGAGAGCCCCTAAAGGTTGGGGACCACTGGACTATATGTACAACTAAGTAGAACCAATAAGTAGCAGACCAGATAACATTTTCATTATGTTCTGTAACACATTGATTTCAGTCAAATAGCTGAATCCTGTAGTGGACATTTTGTCATATTCTTTGTCTTCTAAACTAAAGTTTTATAAAAGCAAACTTTGATAATCTGACATCAACAGAAATGTTCTTATGATTATTTTTATTTCCTGTATGATTTTGTAAAACAGTCTCTTTCAGTGTTTGCAACCCAATTTTTTGTATCTTGCAAATCCATGAAAACATGAAAGAGCAACAGACTATAAATGAAAGTTAAACTAACTAGTGTATTTCACTGTCCAAGTTGAGAGAAATGAGAAAAGTAAACAAACAGCAAGAAAGATAACAAGGGCATTTTAATTCTTTGGTCTTAATAATCTGAGCTGCTAGTAGCCTTGACAGATTTATTTGAAATATATATGTGCTTGTTACATAACATAAGACAAGACCATAAGAGCTGACAAACAACCGCATACAAAGGAATCCAATGCATCAGGTAAGGGCAGACAAATAAGCAGTGGCAAATTTTTAAAGTGCTTGTACACAAATGCTAGGAGTCTGACTAATAAGATGGGTGAACTAGAGTACCTCGTATTAAATGAGGAGATTGACATAATAGGCATCACTGAAACCTGGTGGAATGAGGAAAATCTGTGGGACACAATCATACCGGGATATAAAATATATAGAAAGGATAGAGCAGGCCGGGTGGGTGGCGGACTGGCACTGTCTGTGACAGATAATGTAGAATCAAATGAAATAAAAATATTAAGTGAATCAACATGTTCCATAGAATCGCTATGGATAGAAATTCCATGCTCCAATAATAAGAAATTAGCAGTAGGGATATATTACCGACCACCTGACCAGGACAGCGATACTGACATAGAAATGCTGAGGGAGATTAGAGAGGCTACCAAAATAAAGAACTCTATAATAATGGGGGATTTTAATTACCCCATATTGACTGGATACATGTCACCTCAGGAAGAGAAGCGGAGATAAAATTTCTCAATGCCTTAAATGACTGCTTCTTGGAGCAGCTGGTACAGGAACCTACAAGGGGAGAGGCAATTCTCGATTTAGTCCTGAGTTGAGTGCAGGATCAGGTCCAGGATATAAGCGTTACAGGACCGCTTGGGAATAGTGACCATAATATAATAACATTCAACATTCCTGTGGTGGGAAGAACACCTCAGCAGTCTAGCACCCTGGCATTTAATTTCAAAAAGGGGAATTACGCAAAAATGAGGAGATTAGTTAAACAGAAATTAAAAGGCACAGTGACTAGAGACAAATCCCTGAAAGCTGCATGGACACTTTTTAAAGACACCATAATAGAGGCCCAACTTAAATGTATACCCCAAATTAAAAAACATAGCAAGAGACCTAAAAAAGAGTCACCGTGGCTTAACCACCATGTAAAAGAAGCAGTGAGGGACAAAAAGGTATCTTTTAAGAAGTGGAAGTCCAATCCTAGTGAGATAAATAGAAAGGAACATAAACACTGTCAAATCAAGTGTAAAAATGTAATAAGAAAAGCAAAAAAAATTGTGAGGAACAGCTAGCCAAAAACTCAAAAAGAAATAACAAAATGTTTTTAAGTACATTAGAAGCAGGAAGCCTGCTAAAAAACCTGTGGGTCCCCTAGATGATCGAGCTAGAAAAGGAGCAATCAAGGATGATAAAGCCATTGCGGAGAAACTAAATGATTTCTTTGCTTCAGTATTCACGGCTGAGGACGTTGGGGAGATTCCTGAATCTGCACCGTCCTTTGTGGGTGATGAATCTGAGGAACTGTCCCAGATTGAAGTGTCATTAGA